AACCGACATATTTAGGGGTGCCACAATCAAACTATTAAGAATTCGATGAATATGAAAAACACGGGTAAACGAATTCTAATATTTAAATGAGAATTTGAAAAAGTGGATGAAAGAGGATGGTTGATTTGTAAATAGGAAGTTTCGGGTGGCCAGTATGAAATTGGCACAACAACTAAAAGACCCCTACGTAATAAGAAAATTACAATCTGGGAACAGCGGGAAATGATCCAATAAAAACATTTCAGGCATATTTGCAGTACGTGAAATGAAATATATAACTTGTTTAAGAGAAAATTCTGATTGAAAAAGCTAAAAGTCAGAATTATACAACAATACCAATGCAGGGTAGATCTGTAAAACATCATCTCTTAAATTTGGGAGTAATTGCAGTTAGACCTCCCATGAAAGGCCTCAGCTTCACTGGAATAATAACAGAGCCATCTTCCTGCTAATAAGCATATAATCATGCGAGGAACCGCACAAGCAGTGGCATTCAGCGTGTGCACAAATTGAGTTGGCGAAGAAGCTCCTTCCTTTCCCTTGCCCTTCTTTGTGGCAGCCATTGATGAACCAGACGGAGCTCGGCGATATCGAATGCCCAATCTCCTGCTTTGATAGTCTGTGCAATTTGATGCACTAGATATCTGTTCCAGATTTGAGATGTGTTGCAATTTATTTAGTTAAAGAGATAAGAATCAAAATAACAGGAGCATGTTTAGTATGGGTGATTGAGTCGAGTTCGAGTGGAGCCCCAAGTCGGAATTGATGATATTTATTTTTCGAACTTGAGTTAATTGAAAATGATTGAGTTTCTGTTGAATTTTGAGTTGAATGGTCAATAGATTAATTATCTAAATTCCTAATTGACCTTATTGCATAAACACCGCCAATTTTTTGTAAATTTACGTATCTAATATCTAAACTTTGATTTTTATATTTATACTCGCTGAATTTTTTTCATTATCATATAAAAAAAACACAATTTCAACTTTTAAAAGTGAAATACACTTTCAAGCATAGCATATATGTTAGAATTGAAGTTTAGGTGTAAGATATGTAAATACATAAGAATTGACTGGCATGCATGTAAATCTTCCAATATATTTTAGAGGCTCTCCTAAGATCAAAATAATCATTCAAATTTTGAACTTCTGTTTACTGTTTTTATATAATCTTTAAACACAATGTCAAATTATTGATTGCGATCTAAGTCATGAAAATAACTTGTTTAATTTTACCTATATTTATAATAATTTAATGATTCTGATAGGAATGAGACAAATTTTCACCAGCAAAATAAATATTTTTTTCCGTAGACACATAACATAACCCCAAACACAAATAAAATAGACCTACAATCTGAGAGATAGTCAAATCTCTCCCAAAACCTAAAATCTTAAGAGAAAAATGACAATTGCACATATCCCTAACCCTAATCATATTAAGTCTAATTTATACCAAACATTAATAAGTAACAAATCACTAAAAGACTTTTGCATTTAAAATAGGTCTTCAAATTATTTGACAGACTCGATGTGGGTTCAGTGGGACCACTCGACTCAATAGAGCACTAGGCGGCCGACATAGTTTAACATTACTCTCATCCCAATAATAAACTCTCGAGGTGGAAGAGAGGAAAATATTGTTGGATCAAGTAACACGACCCTCACACAACGTCATAATCCAACAATTCTTTCCATTTAATCAACATTTTTTTCCCATCCGTCAATTCCTGTCACACCCCTTTTAACTCTAGTGGCTCCAAGAAAACTATCATATCCTTTGTCATAGTAGGAGGGAGCAATTATCACCAATAGCACGTCTCAACTCAAATAAATATCATTTCAATTTCAAAATTGTAAAGCCCAGGGTTCCTATTATTCAGAGCTCTCTACTCTTCATCAATTGGCTTTTGATAAGAACTGTTCTAGATTTGAGTCATTCCCTTTTCAAATTTTGAATAATAGACTTAATATCTTAGTTTTAATGTGTAGAAATAATAGACATTATCTTAATCAAGAATTTTTTTACAAAATATTATTTCCTAAGATGTGATTAATTAAAGATGTTTGCCTCTTTAGGGATACTAGACCCCCAAATTAAAATAAATGATATCATTTTAGGATAGGGTGAAAATTGATTTGTCGTAGCCTCACAGAGTAGTGGAACAATCATTTGATAGCATTTTCATCCCTAGGATTAATACATCATTTTTTGATGTCGTATTTGATCGCAAGTGATTGAAAAACTTTTAAAACTTCTTTGTGATCACCCAATGCAAACAATACCACTCAATTCTTATGTATTTACATATCTAACATCTAAACTTTAAATTTTAAAAATATGCCACCATACCTTATCTATGCATGAAAAAGTATATTCTACTTTTAAAAAATTTAAATAGTGTTATTTTTTATGTGAAATGAAAGATATGGGTGGTATAAATGTCAAAAGTAAAGTTTAGGTGTTAGATATGTTATCACTAATTTTTAAGGATATTATAAGAATAGAAACCTTGTGTTTAATGCTAACAATATCAAATCTAAATGGGAAGAGCTTTCATGTGGATAACATTCATGTATTATATGTATAATGCACGCATATCAAGTCAATTTTCAATTAAATCAAAATTAGTACCACAAGAGAAAAGAATTGGATTTTAATTTCAAGTTGTTTAAATTTCAAATACAAAAGAGGGTTTAAGTTCTGTGCCTGATTATCAGCTACTCGAGAGTAATGCAACAAGCATCCACTATTTCCAAAAGAGAGAAGTGTCAAAATGATAATTTGATTCTTTGAAAGGAGACATATTAGTCCTAAGGTTAATAAAATGTAAATTTAATCCCTAAATTCTTTTAACGGAAGGTTAAAATAATCATTCATATGAACAATTTCAGTCCACATTTAAAAACTTGGGGGTGTTTTTATAGACTCTTAAGACTAAAATAATAGCATGTAAATAGTTAGGTGACTATTTTGGCATTTTACTCATTTTCAAAATAAAACCTGTCGGCATGTCAGTGACATCATCCTGGTATACCTCTCCGTATCTTTCCAAGCCTGGCATCCATGCTTCCACGTCAAACTTGCGATAGGCTGGTGCACCCAAGTCACTTGTTGCCATATCCAATGTCCTTTAAAAAAGCAGAGTTAGCATCAGATGATGTAGCGGTTTTCATTAAGTAGATTTTTAGGGTTTTTTCGTACTTAAAATGAAAACCTAGGGATGCAAAGAGATCTTCTTCAATCTTGACCAGTTCTTCAAGAAATAAGTTACTCTCCTCTGGTCGGCAAAATACAAACATTTCTACCTTGCTGAACTGATGTACTCGGTAGAGTCCCCTAACAAAAGTACGATGAATCTCAGTATCGAATAAATGCACATGTCCACCACAACGATAAAATTAGCAAATACAAGTTCAATACCTGGTTGCAATGCCTGCAGCTCCAGCTTCAGTTCTGAAACAATGAGAATAGGCAACATATTTCAGGGGCAATGAAGAATCTGGGAGAATAGAGTCCATATGAATGCCCCCAACAGGAATTTCTGCAGTTCCAATTAGACATTGGTCACTTCGTTCGATAGAATAAACCTGCTACGATAACCAGTAAGCACCACGTTTGACAATAAATACAGCATATATATAAGAGTTGCTTGAAAATATCTAATTCGCATTTTAGGGACTTGAGGGGATAATAACATAATTTTTTAGTAAACACGGCCGCAAATTGACAATAGGATCACTGAAAAAAGAAAAAAAAACTCCAATTAAAATAATTTGGATAACAAAAACAGCATAAAATGTAAGATTTTTGAACATCTTTGTAGTTGTGAAAGTAGATGAAAAATAGGGCAAAACTTTGGTTGGAAGCTAAAAGTTTATTGGGATAATTAAATGTCGTTTCGATAAAGTAGGCATTTGAGTAAGTGATGTTAACAATAGAGTACAAGCTTGCTGTACAAGGAAGCCCCAAAAAAAATTTCATTAGCTTGAAAAGCAAAAAATTTAAAACATGATTTTGAATATAAATTCAAATGCATTATCATTTCATTTGTCGATAAGTGCAAGCTCAAAATCTGTTCCCTATTTATGCAACTTCTTATCCATTAGCCTTCTCGTTTTTTATTTCTTATCGTACATTATATCAAATTTTGGTCTATAAGATAAGCAACATTTAAAATTGGTTACCTGGCAAGCAAAAAAAAATCTATTTTCTTAATTCTATTTTTCTGCCAGATTCAAGCATGATGCTGGCATAATATTGACACTGAAAAGTAGGCAAAGTTAAAAAGTATATTGGCGATGTAGAAAAGCATTGTGATGCCTAAGTATAAAATATGGGATATAAAAAAAAGTATCTTCTCACAAACAAGAATAAAAATATATTTTTTTTAAATGAACTTAAAATCTCTTCTTTTTATCGTATGATGCTTCACCATTTTTCTCCCATATTCGAAAAACTATAAAGAAGGAAAAAAAAATATGAATCATTCATTATATCCTAAAGTGAAATTTTTCTTGGTGCACCCCAGATATAAATTTTAGTAAAGCATGCATTGTGCATACTGTAATACCTTATTCTTTGCCACTGATCAGTATAGATTAGAATACTTAATTCACTAATGAAATGTCAAGCTCCCAATTATACATGAAATGACACCGAAATACTTCAGAAAATTACAAAGGAGGCAATGCAACCAAATTGTGTGGGTTTAGAGGTCAAATATCTCGTCTTTCTTCATTAAAGAGAGTTCACGATGAAAAATGTTGATGTAAATGATAGGATGAAACAAAATGACGGAGAAAATATGCATCAGTGTGCTGTAACTGATGAAATGTCAAGCTCCCATTTATATATGAAATGACAACGAAATACTTCAGAAAATTTTAAAGGAGGCAATGCAACCAAATAGTGTAGGCTTAGAGAGCAAATATCTCGTCTTTCTTCGTTAAAGAGAGTTCACGATGAAAATTGTTGATGTAAAAAATAGGATGAAATAATATGACTCAGAAAATATTCATGATTCATTTGAATTTACATCAGCTAGAGATGCTCTTGCCAAAAAATTAAGATTGTTTTGCAGCACCACTAAACCAAAACTTTCGTCTCCGCACCCACCTCAAAGAAATATATGAATTAAGGGGTCTTTCGGGATCACTGATGATTTTTATTTTCTATTTTTTGTTTTGTTTATGTTTTAGTTTGAAATTAAATATATTTGGTATGTTATAAATGTTTAGTTATTTTTAAAGCACTCAAAATAACTTAAAAGATGTTTTAATTATTTTTATAAACAAGCTAATTTGTTTCTGAAAGAAAAAATAGAAATATGCAAACAATGCACTAAATAAATATGTTTTTAAAATAAAATGAAAAATGAAAAAAAAAAAAAAAAATGTGATCCCAAACAAGCCCTACGCCTTATAACTAACAGCAAAATGAAGGCTTTGTCATGTTAACATTAAAGGTCATGGACATCATGTCAGAAATTCAGGAAAAGCTGAAATATGAAAATCATTGACCATAAAAGTATTCTTCAATAAAAAGGACCAACTCACCTAAAAATGCATTACGACTGATTAATATGCCATGAAGAAGCTTACTTCTAAGTATAATTTTCATAAAACATACATTATGTAGCCATTGAACCACACGATGTAAAATGTCCAAAATATTCATCAAAAAACATTTATTGAATTTGATTGATGATGAACACAGAATTTCAGAGCAGGCACAATTTTGCACATAAAGAGAAGCACGGAAGTTGGGCTTAAAAAGAAAACATTGCGAACCTGTGTATTGTTCCCACGAGGTTGGAACCCGCACTTCTCAACAACCGAAGATCTTACAATCTCCGGAGTTATTAGAGGTGTAAAACCCCTTTTAGAAACTTCAGATATGGCCCAGTTGATAAGAGCCATTTCTAATAAAACAGCCTCATTTTTTAGGTAGTAAAACTTTGCTCCACTTACCTACAAAATTAAATTTAAAAGTTAGAAAAGAAACCTGTCAATGAGGTGTAGTGAAAAAATACACTCAACCCAGATATTCTTTCATAAATCAAAGAGGGTGAGAAAACAAGTTCTGACTCGATTGGACAGGTTTGGCAGACTAAAAGCTTCACTTGACTAGAGGTTGCCATTGCCAAAGAATTTGGTAGAGATCTGCTGCTAAAGATACCAGTCAAATAAAAAGTAACCTAAACTAAGAACTTCATCAACCCTTTTTTACTACATCAAGATGGAAGATCATGACCCCTAGTAATTGGATTTTCAAATATTCATGTTTGAAGATTTCTTATTTTTCCTTCAAATATGATATAATTATGAAATTCATATTGCATGATTGGCATGGCATGACTTTGAATGGAAGATGAGAAAAAAAAAATGTTTGCAAGAACATTTTTTTTAGTAATACAAATACATGATTTAAATATACAATATTAAGCCAACTAAACTGTTGTGGAATAGCAAGTCTGAATTGCAACACTCTCAAAGAATGATAATTGTCAATATAAGGATGATGGAATCCTTAAGTGATGGGATTGACAGATCCTTAGGCCAGTGTATGTTGCACGAAATGATAATTTTCACCATGTTTATCTAACAGTTACCATAGCAACCAGTGATATATTGCAATTGGCGAAAGTTGAGCCTACCGATTCTCACTTCATAAATATGGCCCAAACACTAGACTAGAGGTTATCATTGCCATGGAGTTGGGCAAAGACACTGCAATTGAAAACCCCGCCAGATAAAGGGTTAATGACCTAGAATGAGCACTAAAATAGCCTTTGTGACTAAGGTGGGAGACCACATTTGATGTTTTCTAAGCTATTGATCCTTGAAGTATGGCATGACAATAATTGGCATAATTATGATGATATATTGTGTGATGGATGTGACTATGAATAACATGATGCATAAAAATATAAATACTTGTATGAATAATCATGATAATTGCTAAATGCAAAAATATGATTTAAAATACTGAAAACTGCCGACAAATCCAAACAACAACGATATCATAAAATGATAACTTTTGACACTATGAGGATGCCTTCTAATGTGGGAATTGATATATCCCAAGGAACGATATCACAACAATGTTGCACTAAGTCAATATAAATGAATGTACTTGAACAATTATGACACACAAACGATAATAATATAAAAATGATGCATGAACTCCAAGTTGAAATGTTATTAATCTAAAATAGTTTATTCCAATCATGCAGAGTTTCATTAAATCTTCATGTTGATATTTCAATTGCCTTCCACTGAGTTTAGCTCACAATTATTACATATTCAAGTGATCTGTCAGTAAGAGATTGGTGTTGGTCAGGTGAGGCCGGCCAATCATGCTAAGTCAACCTTTATGGAAGGTCAGTTGAGTAGCTCAAACAATCATAGGTTGTTTTCATGGTGTGCCATCATTTACGTATTGGTCCTACCTGTGGGACCTAAGCCTAGACTTTCATTTATGATCTCCTTAGCCTTGGGCCTATTCAGAGTTATGTTAACGAGCTTTAATTTTCGTCATTCTATAGTGTGTTTCTCCTAGTTTATGGCTGTTGCCACCTTTAAGAAATGCTGGAGGCCATTCACTTACCAAAGAAAGGGTTGTCAGCAAAACCGAATGGTCAGAAACAGCCAGATCTTTTTTTTTTTTTTGGAAGGGCTCCAACAAAAACATCCAGTAAAGTGTGCTACACAACACATTTGGGAATCAAATAATCCCCCACTGGCGAGAACACATAGAAGACGAAGCTTTAGGTAACCGATCGAATCAAACCAAGTGATTCATCAAGGAGCGCTATAGATATGTATAGGAGCAAAGTTATTAGATCCTTAGATATTGGTCTAGCTAGTGAATTGCGGTTAGTACTAGCAGTGCACAGATAAATAATACCTTAGGTCAAATATGAATGTTTGTTGTCTAATAAATGACAGTATGACACACAATAGACAAGGAGACAACACTAATGAAAACAGCTTGTCACTAGAAAGTGGCATCAAACCCCCTAAAGCCAATTGAATTTTACAATCTCAAACAATCAGAGGCAACCACAACGAACCAACACTCAAAATGGGAAGAGCTTCTACAATGGTGACTGCTCCATCAGTCAGTGTCACATCAAGACTTTTGGCACAAGCAATCGCTACTCTTCGAGTGTCGATCATGGCTTGTCAAATGCAACTCGAAGTTAGAGCTACCTGTAAACTTATTAGATCCTTAGATATTGGTCTAGCTAGTGAATTGTGGTTAGTACTAGCAGTGCACAGATAAATAATACCTTAGGTCAAATATGAATGTTTGTTGTCTAATAAATGACAGTATGACACACAATAGACAAGGAGACAACACTAATGAAAACAGCTTGTCACTAGAAAGTGGCATCAAACCCCCTAAAGCCAATTGAATTTTACAATCTCAAACAATCAGAGGCAACTACAACGAACCAACACTCAAAATGGGAAGAGCTTCTACAATGGTGACTGCTCCATCAGTCAGTGTCACATCAAGACTTTTGGCACAAGCAATCGCTACTCTTCGAGCTTCTACAATGGCTTGTCAAATGCAACTCGAGGTTAGAGCTACCTGTAAAGATGATGCGTCATCATTTCTAAAGAAAATCAACCAAATGAAGGGAAAAAACTTGCTATCACAACTCTGAATGATCTTCAGTGACATGAACCCAAACAAAAGAAAGATAAAAATGGCAGCATTTACACTAACCAAATATGTCGACAATTAGTGGACGACACAAAAATGTACAAGCTTTTAAAACCAAGCAACAATGTCATCATATGGGAGAAATTTATTAAAGCTTTACAAGACAAGTATAGCCCTACTGCTATCAAGCAGTTAAAATGCCTCGTCCACTGTGATATAATGATGGTTAATTATGACTGCACAATGCATATATGAATGTTGATGCTTGATAATAGAAATGTATTTGAATAAATTGTAGAGACTAGCATGTCCGAGTCAACACTTTTATGGAATTGCAGCTATCAATACTACGAAGATGAACGTCTTCTAGCAAGTTCAACAATCCCAAAGCTTTCAGAATATGAATGTTGCGTCAAATGATAATGTTAAGGGGCATTTACATATGTTGAAATTCAGAATGATGCAGAATAAAGCGAGTTATTTCATTGATGTAAAAAGAGGGTATAAATAACATTTACATGAATCCTAGAATAGGAAAGACGGTAAATAGTAAATAATATGAAATGAAAGATATAAATCCTAATATCTTCATAAATATAAAAGCTTAGAATAGGAAAAGATCTAACTCATAATCCAACAACAACAACAAACCTTTATCCCACTAAGTGGGGTCAGCTACATGAATCCTTTTTCTCCATTGTATTTTATTGCGTGTCATATTTCCATGTGTCCTGTTGAAAAGGATCTAACTCCTAATCTAATGAAATAAATATAAAATAGGAAAAAAATAACTCCTAATTCAAAAAAATAATTTATTCCTCATAATTTCTCAAAGGAGTAAATTATTTCTTAGTATAGCTCCTAACACTCCCCCTCAAATTAAGATATGGTTGAAAATCATGTTCAACTTAGATTTAAAAACACCAAACAATGGGTGAGGAAGATATTGAGAGGTAGAACTTGAAGTCTTCGTCCCATAAGACGTTTGTCTTTAACTGCAGTTCCTGCAGTATCTGTAGGTCGAAGGGTCCTACAGATAATACTACAGGGATGTAGACATCTAACAGGAAAAAACTAACTTCAACTTGAATGTGGTTGCCTTTTGACTGCAATTCCTACAGTATTTATAGGTAGACGGAAGACTCCTACAAGTAATGTTGCAGGGGAATTTGTGCAGGAAAGTAAACAACCAACAAGAGGAAAAGCTACAGGGTATAGCCTGCAGGAAAAAAACTCAGGAGGTGGGATTCGTTGCAGGAAAATCCTCCAAAGGAGAACGTGTTGCAGGAAGAATTCAGATGGAGGGTCTACTGCAGTGAAAGCTCCAGAGGAGGACCTGATATATGAAAGAGTTCCAAAGGAGGACCCGATACAAAAAAAGGCACTGGAGGAGGGTCTGCTGTAGGAAAAACTCTGGAGAAGGGCCTGATGCAAAAAAACCTCCGGAGGAGGGCCTAATACAAGAAAAGTTTTGGAGGAGAGTTTGTTGCAGGAAAAGCTCCACAAAAAAGCCTGTTGCAGGAAAAAAACTCTGGAGGAGGCCTGCTGCAATAAAATATCTTGAACAAGATGAGAATGACTTGAATGGGCTTCCACCACAAAAGCAGCAATAGAAACACCTGCAATAAATAAACCACTGCATTGACTATATAAAAAGTTGGTATGAGGCCATGCCTAGTCATACATCTACCTAGCGCCCTCACTATCGCAAATGGAAGCCAGAGCGGCGCCGGCAAGCAACTTAGGGAATCAGGGAAGTCGGACTGTTAGAAACCAAAAATCCGGACTATTTCAGGAAACATGTGACAAAGAATAGTGGGAATGACTTGCAGTAAAGGCAGCAGGACAACTGCACCTCCAGGGAAAGCTGCACCTCCAGCAGCAAGGACCTGTAGAAAATCAGGTAAGTCAGACTGTTGGAAATTAGGAAGTCGAACTGCTAAAAATCTGCAGGAAATCAGAAAAGCTAAACTACTGTAAACCAGGAAGTCAGACTGCTGCAGGGAACAGGCGTAACAAAAAATAGTGGGAAAGATGACAGAAAAACAGGGTCCTTTCTTATTTCTGTGGTTGAAATGTGGAGGGAAGACAGCTGAGAAAAATAGCTACCCCTTTATGGGATTTCTCTAACAGGAGAGTCTACTGCAGAAAAGATTCCGAAGGAGGGTCTGTTGCACGAAAGAGCTTGATATGCCATCACTTCTTCTGATGAAGTCCAACCTTCATTCCTAGAAATTGTATTACTCGATGAAGCCACATGAGTCAAAGCATTTACAACATCCTCAGCATCAACAAATCCATCAATTCAATCATCAAAAGCACATCTTGGAGATAAAGAACCATCATCATCAATCATGGGGTGGTATGGATTCTTCGGCTCTGTGATTTTCTGCCTCACAGGTTTATTTGATTCGATCTCATACAAGTTTACCTTGTTCCATCTAACGCGATTACTCATCTTCGAAAGCAATAACCCACTTCAATAGATAATAGACCGCACACCTCAGAAAAGCCACTCCTTCGAGTGCGATGCAGAGGTCGAAGGAAAAGCTTGCTCCTTCGAACTCTAGGTTAAACCGTTGAAGGCGATGCTCGAGCGCCTCCAACTCCCGAATACCAGTGTTTGTGTTGCTTCAGTTCGAACTCTAGATCGAAATCGAACCGTCGAATGCGAGGATTGGGCGCCTCAAACTCTTGAACAGTAGTGTCTACTCCTGCTTCACCTCGAACCCTATGTCGAAGACAAACTTTAGAAGAAGATGCCATGGCGCCTCAAACTGTTGAAAATGATGGCACCTCGAACCCTCGAACACGTCTTCTGCTTCTGTGCTCCATCGCTCCTTCGAATTCAATCATACCTTTTTTTATTTCTCTCGCTATTGTTGAAACGGACTGCTTCGCTTCAACCCCTAAGAGCGCGTTTCACAAATGCATATCAATCGAGCTATAATAGAGCGGTGATTTGAACTTCAAACAATCAAGATAAAGGTCGCTCGAACTTGGAAGAAGCTTTGGAAAGCTTTGAAAACCTTAGTTCAGAGACAAAAGGTGGATAAACAGAATCGCTCTTGAACCATCTATACGCAGTTCGTGGCAGAAGTTATGGGATATTAGCGAGTAAAGAGGCGATGTTTAGAAGTAATTGTAGGGATATCTTCCAACGACGAGGGTCTGGAAGGAGAGGAGTCCCTCCCTTCCCGCAAGGACGGTGGCAGGAAGGGAGTCTGGCTGGCTCTGGAAGGAGGACCGATGGCTAGGTTACAAAGTTTGGCTCTAATAAAATGTTGAAATTCAAAATAATGCAGAATAAAACGAGTTATTTCATTAATGTAAAAAGAGGATATAAATAACCTTTACATGAATCCTAGAATATAAAAGACAAAAAAAAAGAAATAATATGAAAGGAAATATATAACTCCTGATATCTCCATAAAATAGGAATACTTAAAATAAGAAAGGTCTAACTCTTAATCCAATGAAATAAATATAAGATAGGAAAAGAAATAACTCATAATGCAAAAAAGTAATTTATTCCTCAAAATTTCTGACAAAATTAATTCTTAGTATAACTCCTAACAACATACATACCACCCAATTCCAATGCACTTACATATCTAAGTTTCTAACTTTTTTTTTTTACATTAATATCACCTAAACTATTCATCACATAAAAATACCACGATTTTAACTTTTAAAAGTGAAATACACATTTTTATGCATAGATGACGTGGCACGTACGTAAAAATTGAAGTTGAGGTGTTATATATGTAAATACATTAGAATTGAATGGTATGCATGTAAATCTTCCTAATGTTAATAAATGTACTTGAATAGTTAATACATAAAAAATGATGATACAAAACTAAAGCATAAACTCGAATTTACATGTTTTTTATCAAATCTTTGTCCCTAGATCATGTTAAGATTTCCTTGAATATTATTATTAATATTTTGTGCATTTTCATGAAGGTAAATTGGTTAAATGTCAAGTTGTAGTTCACATAGGCCAGTTACTCAAGTCATGTCAATGATCGATCATCTTTTATCCATCCGAACTTAGCCAAGAACTTTCATGTATAAAATCTTTGATCATAGGTCATATTCCGATTTAAGTTAACGATCTTTAATTTTTGTCATTATTTATTGTTTCTTTAATCTGATTGTTTGCCTTATTAAAAAATATGCTAACCAAATACCAGCTTTTGGGCTATAAGCCTATATCAAATACCAAAGACCAACCAAGGAATTTATCATGGATAGGCAGTACTAAATAGAGTTCAATATGTAACATGTTAGCAAGCTGAGAGAACCTTAACTCCCCACCACAACCATGGAGCAGTCAAGCTATGGCTGGATGGGCTTTAAACAATCGACCAACTTAAACCAACCCATACTCAAGGCGAACAAGACCGCATCACCCAAAAATAGCAAGTTACTTTTTTATTACTTATAATCTAGATTAGTTAAATGAATTTGTGTTGTTCAAGTTAAAAGGTCTACTATACATTTAAAAAAAAGTGTAAATGGAAGTATGGATATTATCAAAGAATATATGTAAATGAACATGAAAAAAATTCGCATTTCAAACAAATTAAATACAAGCCAGAGTTCTTATTGCAAACACTACCAGAATACCTCAGCTGCAGAATCAAAATCAAATAAATCAAGCTCCTTTCCTAGTTGTATGTGATCCTTAGCAGTAAATTTAAACTCTGGAGGGCTTCCAAACTAGAACAAAAGATGACAGAGAAATAAAATCATGAGCAATTTTGTTCAGTAAACCCAGACATTAGACAAAATAATTTAACAAAGAAATACCATAAGTCTCGCGACAGAGTCCTCCTCACCCCCAATAGGAACATCAGGATGAGTAATGTTTGGTATTAATTGTGCTTCCAGTTGTAGCTTATCAGTAAGCACAACTAGATCATCTTCTAATGCAGCAAGGGCTTCTTTTAGATTCTTTCCTGAAAGAGGCATAGCAAAGGCCACATTCGGATAAAATGGTTAATAAAAATTATAAGCTTTAAAAAATGTATACCTTCCTCTACAAGAGCCTGACGTTCAGAAGGATCCAATATTCCCTTCATTTTGTTAGCAACTATGTTTCTTTCTCCTCGCATTTGTTCAACCTCCTGCCATCTGTGACTAGGATTAAATAAGGAAGCTTTTTCCTTGCTATCAAATAGCAACAAAACTATTGCATAAATCCATCATAATTAGTCTTATGCATTCATTTTTAAATTTCTATTCTAAAAAATAAATAACGGAACAAATAATTGTTGGCTAGAGATTTGTATGCCCAATTTTGGTTTGATTCATATCAACATGAGTGCCTGATTTGGGTTCAAAAACGACTAATTGAGAACAAAATTTAAACTTTTGCACCGCAAAACCTACCAGGTTTCAAATCAACTAAAATCTTCAATTAACTAGAGTTACATATCATAAAAAGACGTCTAAGAGTTAGCTTTAACTTGACCCCCGGTAGTCGGTACGAAGCCGTTGAACATGTCTAAGGTGCTCATTAATGCAAACAGTAACCTAGGTTATTTGCCCAAGGAACTTGTCACTTTAACCAACATATTCATCTGCTGACTAGAGGTATCCGTTAAGAGACTAGATGGGGTGCTAGCCCTCAATCTGAAACTTGTCAGCACATCCAAAGACCAAAGCATAGTTCTAACATAACTTGTACTCTACACAGTCAACTGCAAAGTTTTCAGCCTACGCATTTTCTATGTAATTGTACCATGTTGAGTAATATAGCACCGACTTTGATCTCCATATATAGATAAGAGATAAGTCATCAAGCACAGACACATCAAATCCTACAAGGATTCTATATGAAATCTTTTTCTTTCTAAATGTTTGACTCAAAGACCTTTTTAGCTTAAAGAGGCTAGGCAAGGTTCTTTATACACCAATTCTCTAATGGGTTATTTATTTTGGTGTATTAGGTGTATAAAGTGAAAAGAATACAAGGGTTTAAAATTTGTTAACTCTTTGCTTGAAGTAAAGCAAATGCATAGTATTGCACGAAGGATTTGTAACAGATTGAAGTTAAAACTCTTGCGAAGGGAACTTCAAATCTTCAATCATCTAAAACTTCATATGAACAATCAACATCTGTTGCCATGGATTTACTAAAGGTGACGCTTATTGACAATGGTTTGCAATTCATCTACTAAAAAGTGAAAAAAATTTATCAAAATGGATTTGATCAATGATCAAATATGGACTTAAAACTCACTAGAATTATTTAAGAAATCTCTTTCCATGCAAATTGTTTCTCTATAACAGCACAATTCACCCTTTTTCATCTAAATGGGTGACAACTGACAAGTTCTCTGTACACCAATTCCTTAATAGATACATTTGACATCTAGCCTCGCCCTCTTCTTGCACACTCTAATTCAGTATTGATACCCTTTAAATATTATGATGCAACTCATAGCATATAATCAATTTCTCCAACAAAGGGGGCGTTTGGTAGCATGGTTTTAATAGATTTTAGGCCAAAAACCAAAAAAAATAAAAATTAAATCCAACGCTCCTTTAAAGCAAAATTCCTAACATAAAACCGGGTTGAAACTAAACAGCGCCTAAAGCATCCATGCTCAAAATGAATGGAATGAGCAGTTATTAAAAGTCAGTTTATCAACAACGAATTCATTCAAGAAATTAACAGAGACGAAGAACAGTTTAACCTTCTGAAGGCTGCAGAAATCCTCATAGAGCTCAAGGAGAAGCTCCAAGTTGGCTGTCGAATTTCTGTTCCTAATATTGGTGGCGACCAAATCCTTATTATCCCGGATCCATTTCAAGTCAATGGCAGCTTTCCATTGGGGCTTGGGAGTCACTGCACCAGGCATCTCAAAAAATTCACCAATTTGATCAGAGGTAGAAACAACAGAAGCAAACAGCACGCACCTATCTCTCCGTAAGATGAAGCGTTGGCACCCGGCTCAGAAATAGCAGGGGATGAGATGGCCCGGAGGAGAGAGGGCGGAGAAACCTTAAGCCGGAAGACTGGAAGTGTTGGGGTTAATTGCAGCCTGCAAACAGCAGGTGCCAGCGATAACAAGCAGGCGCAGGAGATCATCCCTAAATAGCAACAGAAATAACGAGATTGATATTGAAAAGGTTTAGGAATTGGAAATTCTAATGGCTTCCTCAGGGCGGGTTGGCGGATAGGGTTTGGGAGGAAGGAGCGGTGTGGACGGGAAGGGTGGCGTTTAATGCAGTGTGAAGAAAGTAGATAATTTGTCCGTAAAATTTGAACATGCCTCCTAATAATAAAAAAATTCATGAATATATCATTCATATTTACTTTAATAATAATATATATATGAATTTTTATTTTAAAATAAAAAAATATTCAAATTTTATAGTGAATTGTTTATTTAAAGTTCACCTTTAGCTACATAAACTCGAACTATATTGCAACCCTATTAAACAAAAATTTTGAGCTTTATTTAGTCTACTTGCATGTTTAATTTGATTTAAATTTAATTCGAACAATATTCAAACTAGGCTATGCATAGCCCAATTACAATATTTATCAAGGGTTCGCTTGGAACCGCATTTTTCACACTATGAGGCCCCAAACCGCGGATCTGAGTTCGAAGTTACTTTTTGGATATAGCGTCCACGGCCGCCAGACGCTAAAATAGGCGAAACACATGTCGCGGGACAACCCTACAGCCCCACGTTGTCGAGCGGCTTTTCCTCCTTTACCTTAGCACTCCCTCGTCTTGCGATTGAGCCTTACATCTATAACATTTAAATTTTTAACATCACATCAAAAATATTACTAACTATTTAAGAATTAAATGCAGCTTTTTATAGCACCAAAGTGTTATAAACATAAATATCAAATTTTAAGTGTTAAATATATAAATCTGAAATAATTTTGTGGTACCCATCTAAATTTCCCAAGACAACAAAGGATTCAATTTTGAAAAGGAAGAGTTACATGCATACCACTCAATTCATGAGTTACATGCATACCCCTCAATTCATGAATTTAGATATCTAAAAGCTAAACTTCAATTTTTACATATATGTCACCTTACCCATGTTTAAAAATGTGTACTTCACTTTTAAAAGTTAAATTAGATATAATTTTTATGTGATATGAACATTTTGGTTGGTATAACTGTAAAAATCAAAGTTTATGAGTTGATACATAAATACATAAAAACTGGATGGTAAATATGGAAATGTGACCTTTTAAAATTGCATGTTTTGCTCATTGGATTGGTGAATGATAGCTTGTCCCGCGGGTCAATGGGTCATCAATAGCAAGCTTTACAACACACTCTTTGATTGGTAAAAATATTACATCAAGACTCTTAATTCATTGGGAGTCCCATGGTGGGGCGTCACATGCCAAGTGAGCTCCACTGTTTTTAACACTGATCAATGCCAGTATATTACGGTGGGGCCCACTTGACACATGACGCCCACATCATTGGACTCCTAATGCAAACTGCGTTAGGAATCTTGATGTAATATATATTTCTTGCATGAACAATAAGTCCGGTAATACAATATCATTTTCTGTGAGGAAAAAAAAAAATAAAAGGTCTAGAATGTAAGAAAATATCGTAATTATTTTTCTGTTTGTGGCGGCTCTTCTTTGATAAAAGACCCCGTGGACGAAGTTGGCTCAGTGAACCACTGATTCTCCCGCCGAGTGAGAAAGGAAGCCTCTGTGATTGAAAGCAAGGAACAAACTTATTGTAATTTGTAAGCTGAATCAAACCTAGGTTACTTTAATGCGCTGGAATAGAAAAAAAGAGCATTTACGCGTATACCACACAATTTTTATGTATTACACATCTAATATCTAAACTTCTTATATTCACGCGCACAAAACGCAAAATTTTAATATCAAATCAAAAATACCACTATTGCTAACTTTCTAAGAGTCATTGAGTTTGTGATACCAATGTGTTGTAAGTGTAAATATCGAATTTTTGGTGTTAGATATGTAAAAATATAAAAATTTTGTGGTATGTATATAAATTTCACTGTAAGAACTTATGCCGGCATTTTGTATCATGATGGGACTATTTTATGATATGTGCCATTAATTTCACATATCAGATGTTACTCATCCTCAAATTTCAGCAGTTCTAATTATATTATCTAAAAATTTATCTGATGAGTGATAACAACAACAACAACAAAACCTTTATCCCACTAAGTACGGTCGGTTACATGAATCCTTCTTTCGCCATTGTGTCCTATTTAGTGTCATATTCTCATTTAATTCTAATAAATTAAGATCATTGTTTATACAGCATGCCCAAGTCTTCCTAGGTCTACCTCTACCTTTCTTAACATAAGTCGAATCTAAAACATCTACTCTTCTAATCGAATCATCAGATGTTCACGTTTAATGTGATCAAACCATCTGAGACTACTCTCTCTAATTTTGTCTGTCGTTGGAGCTACGCCAACCTTATCACGGATACATTCATTTCGCATTTTGTCTCTAAGTGTAAAACCACTCATCCACCTGAGCATTCTCATCTTGACAACACTTAGTTTTATGCTTCTCTTTTAAAGGCCAACATTCAGCGTCATAGAGCATTGCAAGTCTCACCACCAGATTATAAATTTTTCCTTTTAGTCTAATCGGTACTTTTCTATCGCACAATAAGCCCGAAGCATTCCTCCACTTCAACCAACCAGCTTGAATTCTACTAATAACATCCCCATCAATATAACCATCACTTTGAACATAAACCCGAGATATCTAAAGCGTTCACACATTTTAATAATTTGATCACCCATAGTTACATATCTGTCATCTGAGTTACATATCTGTCACTAGAGCTACTACTACTAAAATTACATTCCATGTATTCAATTTTAGTTCTACTCAAACGAAGGCCTTTGACTCCAAGGTATACCTTCATAATTGAAGTTTTTCCTGAACTTTTTCTCTCGTCTTATCCACGATAAGGATATCATCAACAAAAAGCATGCACCAAGGTGCATCCTCCAGTAAGTGTCCACTAAGACCAACAATAACTAAGTAAAAAAGATATGGGCTTAAAGCCGGTCCCTGATATAAACCAATATTTGGTCAATCCTCCTTCTGTTCGAGCACAAGTAACAGCTCTTGTATGCATATCTTTAATGACTTCAATATAAGTCATATCAACACCTTTCTTCATAGGAACTCTCCAAAGGATATCTCTTGGAACCTTATCGTAAGCTTTTTCTAAATCAATAAAAATCATACATAGATCCTCCTTATTATCTTTGAACTTCTCCATCAAACCTCTCAATAAATGCATAGCTTCCATCGTAGACCTGCCCGACATAAATCCAAATTGATTATGAGAAATCTTTGTAATACATCTTAACCTATGTTCAATTACCCTCTCCCATAATTTTAAAGTATGACACGTCAACTTACTTCCTCTATAATCTCATGAGTGAAATCAAGCAAATTTATCATAAAATAGAAAACATATAAAATGTCATGAAACAAATTTTTTCATCACATTAAATCATAACTCACAACAAATTCATGTTATTATCTTAATACTATTGAAACATGTATATAGGTCAAAATGGCAGTAATCATATAAATTATGCTCAGCCACAACAACCCTAAGTAGATTAGAATAGTGATTTCACTGAAACAATCCTATAAGTTAGCTTAATGTCAAACTTTAGCCAACAAACAATCAAATTATTTTGGACAATGTTTTTGAGACGAGCAAAAAGCTTTCATAAAGATGCAAAAAATAGCTCAAAAAGTTCTAAAAGATTCTGTTAAATACTAGGGACATCGGAAGACATTGTAAGACAGGATACCTATAAAAATATTATGAGTCTTTGAAACTCTTTAGAACTCTTATGATATCTAAGGGTAGCGTGTAGATTCATTAAGAGTTCTCTAAAATTCTATTCAAATGAATATTTTACTATAATCTCGAATCATCCATGGAGGAGAGACCCTATAAATAGTGATGGAACGAGGGGGTGAATGAGGGAAGCACTCATCACCCCTAGATTTTTTATTGAACTCTTTAATATCATATAATATATTGAAAATTTTGGCGGGCAATTACATACAGACCACCCGAAACTACCTATTTGAAAATCAACGAACCTCTTTCATCCAATTTTCAAATTCTCACTCAAATATCAAAATTCGTCCTAAAACACCAACCTATATTTTTCAATTTTATCAAATTCTCAAATGATTTGATCGTGGCACGTGTAAATACACAAGTTCGATGGTTCAAAAAAATCACCTGGGTGCTTAATTTGAAAATATCAATATTTCGGGTGATTTGTATGTAATTATCCCAATATATACATCTAACATAAAGTGGGAGAATATATTATTCAAATGTTGCAGGGCTATTTATATTTTCTAGTTAGCCCGCTAAACACTCCTATTTCATCAATAAACTTCAAAAAAATAGAATTACCCAACACCTAAACTTCAATTTTTACATACCACCTTATCTATGCCTGAAAAGGTACTCTCACTTTTTAAAAGTTAAAAAAGGGATATTTTTCACGTGAAATGAAAGATTTGGGCGGTATAAATGTAAAAAAAGAACAGTTTAGCTCTTGGATATATAAATATATAGGAATTGAGTGGTATGTATGCAAATGACCATATTTGTAAAAAAGAGTTACAAGTAAAATCTGGCAAAACTGAGCAAACAAACTTTAGGCAATATTGGAATCATTCAGAATGATAAAGCCATTACCTGATATGAAAACATCACTGAATTCATCCTCATCATAAACAAATTGAGGTGGGTCTGGTGAACCAATTCCCACAATGGTGCTTCCGCTGGTCGAAATATTTTCAGATCATAATTCTTGAATGATTAAAAAAGAAGACTAAACGACAAGCATAAATCAATCAAATTATCATGTAGAAAAATACATGACATATATTAAGTAGCTAATAGTGGCCTTTCTCACAATTAAAAGGGGTGCATATGTCGTTTTTTTTTTACATTTGCATGCAAACCACAAAATTCTTATGTATTTACATATATAACACGTGGACTTTTGATTTTTACATTTATAACACTCAAATATTTTATATGAAATAAAAATACCATTAAATAAACAATTGAAAAGTAAAATACAATTGTTTAAGCATAGGTGAAGTAGCATAGATGTAAAAATCAAGGTTAGGATTATAGTTAATAAAAATGTTCATTGGAAGCACCTAACACTTGGATTGTAGTTAATTGTCATATATATATCCTTTTTTTGCAGGGCACCTGCACGCATACCACACAAATCTTACTTATTTACCTACATGACATGTAAACTTTTGATTTTTACATTTATAACACTCAAATTGTTCATATCAAATCAAAAATGCCATTAAATAAACCATTTAAAGGTAAAGCACAATTGTTTAAGCACGGGCGAAGTGGCATAGATGTAAAAATCAAGGTTTGGATGTTAGATGTGTAAATACATGGGAATGGTGAGGTATGTATCTAAATAATCCTTTTTCTATGAAGATTTGGACAATTTAGCATTATCTATCACAAGAACTGATTGATCCGGCCGATGGATCAAGGGATCAGCACAAGTGTCAAGCAGTAAAAGAGGAAAATACATCAAATTTTCTACATGCAAATTAAGATGGGAATTTGTGCAAGAAATTTTTTAACCTTCCAGACATGAAAACGGCACTATACTGGCCACGCCCAGCAGCTAGCACACGTTGCTTCAACTTCTTCAAGGACGGCAAAACATCAAATGCAGGGGGTTCTGGGTAGTAATGAAAATTAAACAAAAGGGAAAAAATGCATTTACATGCATATCACCCAATTCTTATGTATTTGCAAATCTAACACCTTTTGCATTTATACCAATCAAATCTTTCTTATCACATAAAAAATACCACAATTTTAACTTTCAAAAATGAAACACCTTTTCATTCATTGGTAAGGTGACATATATGCAAAAATTGAAGTTTACGTGCTAGATATGTAAATAGAGAATATTGAGCGGTATGTATTTACATCTTCCAAAGGAAGAATAAAAAATGATGAAGTAAAAGATTATTGAAGCAAGTGTCAAATTGAAAGGGAAAAAGAAGCATTGAATACCTAGATCATTTATGCAGACATCTTGAGATAGTCCATTTAGAGAGATCTTTTCTAGCAGAGTCAACGGGTCAACTGAACTAGTTTTACCAAGATGAAGTCGCTGCATAAAAATTTCACATCAGGGATTGCTTATGGTTTAGTGAGTAGTTTATAAATCTGTAGAAGTTTTTTCATGCCTCGTACACTTTGGCGGTTGGACATGCTTCTTGGGGCTTTATAAGAACCATTGGCAGGTCCTTGGGTAATGCAAAAGGAAGATCTTTAACAACCTGAAAAAAAATGATCAGCAGTTATTCAATCATTTCATTTCTTTTTTTTTTCAATAAGTAAATAAAATAAATCTTGTTGCCTTACTTGAACTTCTCGGGACATTCACGCGGTAAGAATTGTAATCATTAAAGCTATGATTTAAATATTCATGGAAATTCATACATGATTGAAGAGGGAGATTTAAATATACGCATACAATGGTGGAACCAGGAGGTAGCTCGTGGAGGCGCTTGCTATCCTTAGATTTTTACTAAACTCTTTAAGCGGTAATGAAAACTTTACCCCTTAACTTAAATATTTAATCATAATTTAATGCTAAATATATTTTTAATTTGATAAAATATTTATAATAGTTTAAAAAAACAGTCAAGGTGATAGAAGTTTTAAACTTAAATACTTATCAACCTTGATTTTTAATTTTTCCGCCTCTCCCCTTAAATCTGATTCCTCAACTACATTGCATACCACTTAATTCCTATATTTTTATATGTTTAACACCTAAACTTCAATTTCTCCATATATGAAACCTTACTTATGCATGAAAAGGTGTATGTCACTTATTAAAATTTAAAAATATTAATATTTTTTATGTGATATGAAATATTTCAGTGATATAAAAGTAAAAAGTATTAAGTTTAGGTTTTAGATATGTAAATACATGAGAATTGAGTGGTATGTATGTAAATGCCCCAAATTAAAAGTAAAAAGTATTAAAAATAAAAAGTATGTATGTAAATACATGAGAATTGAGTGGTATGTATGTAAATGCCCCAAATTATATTTGTAGATATACAGATAGCAAAATTGCCACAACTTCCCTTTCGACTAGATATAAGCAAACATAGCACACCGTCCTCATTTACGTTGACCATCTGATGATCCGATTAGGAGAGTAGATGTCTAAGATTCGACTTATGTTAAGAAAGGCAAAGGTAGACCTAGGAAAACTTGGGCTTACTGTATAAAACTGTATAAGTATAAAAAATGACTTTATTTTAATACAATTAAATAAAATATGACACTAAATAGGTAGCAATGGAAAAAAGGATTCATGTAGCCGATCCCATTTAGAGGGATTAAGGCTTTGTTGTCGTTGTTGTTGTATAGCACACCTTCCTCATTTCATCACCTAAACTTTGGACCAGCCCTATTCATTGTTTCAATTTCTCGTACTTGATGATTAAAAAATGAAGAGACGCATCAATAAGATACAAAGTTTGTAAACTGTGCTGAAATTGGTAATATAAATAAGGCCCCTTGCATGTTATAATAAAAAAGGCAATAGCTTGTAGCCAATAGTTTAAAAAAACCTAGGGAATAACCATTGAAACAAACAAAGGAAACAAAGGGGGGCATTTTAATTCGTACCACATAGTTCTGTATTCACACATCTAATATCGAAATATTCATATTTACATACAAACTACTCAAATCCTTAACATCACTTCAAAAGTATCTACATCACTTATCTTTTTTAGAGTGAAATACATCTTTACATGCATAAGTTTATAACACCGAGGTATCCTAAGTGTAAATATCAAACTTTGGGTGTTACATAAGTAAATACATAAAAATTATGTGGAATTCATGTAAATTTCCCGTAAAAAAATCAAGGTAGCTTTCAATTAACAATTATATGCACCAAATTGGATAAAGAAACATATAACATAATGAAGTTAAGATCTTTGCATACCTCTCCCCGACCGGTACAATATGCGGCCCCATTTGAGAAAAAAAAAGGAATGTCTGAACCAATTTCACCTGACCAATCCTGAAGCTCTTTTTCAGTAACAAGAAAACCACTGAAATGGTTGGCAGCCCATAAAGCAGTTGCCGCGTTACTACTTCCACCACCAAGCCCAGCACCAGTAGGAACTTTTTTGTCAAGCTCGATCTATATGATTCATAGAAGATCAAACAATACAAAACAAGAATAAGGAAAACTATTATGTAAAGATAATTCATAATTAAGCAAATCCACAGGCTGGTTAGAATTCCTATTTGATGACAATACCTGTAAGAAATTGTTTGTCCCCGTCTTCTTCCTGTAAAGATTGAGAGCTCTGATTATCTGCAAAAGCATGGAAAAAGTTAAGCAACTGCTTCTATACAGTTATCCCAGTTAGATTGACAATTCTAACTCTTAAGAATGCCAGTAAAAGAAACTTAAAGTGGAACAAAAGAGGAAGAAGAAATGTGTCTCACCAAATTTTTATCATCAACTGGAACTCCCGCCACATTAGTTGACAGGCGATCCTTTGTCTTTAATGGTGACAAGGAGAATTTAATCGTATCTCCTAAACTGATTACCTGGTATCTTAAACAAGGAACATGGTATTCCAGCATAAAATTTCTGACAAACAGCTCAAATTCTACGTAATTTATGAACTCTGCCGAAACTCATAAGTTACAAATTAACGCTATAAGAAACACCGTTAAAACACCGGAACGATGATCTGACGAATTAAAAGGAAAATAACTGATCTATGTGTATCATTAGCGTTATAGTAATTTCTTCTACTAACTCAAGAAATCCAATTCTAATTAAAGAAATACAATTACATGAAACAAAGAGGCCAAATCATGAAACCCGTCATTCCTCTTTCCAGTTATCCTCAAGAAAACATTAATCTGCACGATAAAATCCGTCAAAATCAGCACAAAACAGAACCCTCAAATCGCTGTGTCGAAAATTAAAATTTAAAAGCTCGAGTTGTGATTACCTTACACGGCGAGAATAGGGTCAACGTAGAAAGCTTGGCGTTATCATCTACTTCACCCTCCAGTCTACTAAACCTCTCCTCCGGATCATAAACAATCTTAAATCCACCCCCACCGAAAACAGAATCGAATCAATCGATGCCGAAAGAGCATCCACCAAAAGAAAGTTCTGACAGTAATTAAAAAAGAAATGCGTACATCCACTTGCCTCCTCCCAGCTTCTGCTGCACAAGGGAGGATTCTACCATACTTGTTCCCGCTGACCTCAGACCAAGATTTGATAGAGTGATGACCATGTCTAAAGATCGAGGGGGTATTCCCTCTTCGGGGTAGTGAAGCAGTTTTTCCCGAGCATGAGAACGATGAAATTAGATGACTAGAGAAAGAGGCCATTGTTAGGAGAAAAGCTGAGAAGAGTAGTGGGTTCTGCTATGAAGCAGGGAGGTTGGGTCTGTGTGGGGTGCCGGTTCAGGCATTCCT